GTCTTTTCGAGGGCCTTACTAAGTTTATCGGCAGCTTCTAGACAGTTCTTGAGAGACCTTAAAAGTGTGGTTTTGAGCTCTATATCTTCCATTTCTGACATTTGCGTCCTGTTTCTTTGTCTCCGCATTTTTTTATCTTTTCTTGGTGCACCCCCTAGTGGTCTTTGTGCGCAGTCTTGTTGTAGTTAAGCCTTGATTGTTGTCGGCAATATGGGGGGTGATTTGACCTCCAGGCTAACTGGCTATGAGAGTCAGCTGTGTCTGCAGAGGGAGAGCTTCTGTGCTGGATCTCTAGGGCGGTGCTAATCTAGCGTTTGCCTGAGGCTATCCAGCAAATGGCTCTGTGCAGGGCTTGGGCGGGGCGGGTCCCCAGGGATCTACAGGGCGGGCCAGATCGAGCAGTTATGGCTGCTCTCAGTTCCGTCCCTAGCGGCTCTGCCTCTCAGAGTCCCAGCCACCACTGCAAACCTCGGAGAGAAAGCTGCCTTCGAGTTCCGACCGAAGCCAGACAGTCCTGCTTCTCCCGTTTGAGTCTGGGTCCCTAGAGACTCGCCTGGATCTGGAGCTCAGAGTCTGAAACTCCCTCCCGATTGAAAACAACAACCGCGCCTTCCGCCTCCAACCCGCTCCTCGCGCACTCCGCACCTGAGTATTTCACTTCAGCACTGCGCCTCCTCTGAGTCTGGGTATGATATTCTCTTTCCTCCTAGTTGTAGAATTTCCACTCAGCCAGCCTTCCTGTGGTTCTGGATGATGTCCGTTCCGTCTTTTAGGTGTACCCTTGAATTGGTTGTTCGAGGAAGCAATCTCCGGCGTTAACCTATGCCGCCATCTTGGTTTCTCCTTCAGCTTTGTTTCTTGAGACCACAATTTGAAAGCATCTATAAACACACTGTTTTTATAATACCAGAAAGGTGGCTACTTTTTTGTGTTATTATTTTTTAAACATTTTCAAGAGTCAGCTTACTAATTAATTAAAGATAAAACTAAAACAGTTAATGCTTAAATAATCCTGACTTTAGTTCTGTTTAGTATGAAGTCTATCCTGTTAGGTTACCATTAAACTTTTTTTAATAGAAAAGACTTTTTAAGGTCAAAAGTTTATTTATTTATTTATTTATTTTCAAAGAGCCTTTATTTGTCTAGCGCAAAGTATGCACTGTCACAGTCTTCTCTGTTACCTTTTACTAAAATAGTTCAATGTTTTTACCACACTATCAAAAAGTTCTATTTCTTTTTCTCTCCCCTAAGGTCAAAAGTTTAAAGTTAAATTATTTTGAACAGCAACAGACTAGTTCTTATGTAATGTAAACATAAATATATAGGAGATAAATACACATTGTACCTTCACAGGGACCTGTTTTGCTATCTTAGACCTTTAATACATGAAAGGAAAAATTAGACAGGAAAAAAATTTGATAATCATGAGTGAAGTGGAATTTCCACATAGTATTTGAAAATGGGGGGAAAAGTTATAGATTTCCATTCATTTTGTTAATACAATATATTTATATAATTTTGCACCTCTTATTGTTTGCTAGTAAAAATAATATTTACCGTATTTTTAATGTCCCTTAAAAAACAAATATTTAGTTGCAGAGTTACTCCACAAAGTTGTAAATTAGTTCGGTAAATTTTTCATTTAAAAAGGTTATGTAGCACTAGCTGCATATAAAATATAAAAAATATATTTTAAAAAAGGTTATGTAAAAATAGATACAGAGGCAGAGCAGCCTCGAACAGACTGTCAGACTACAGCGGGAAGGCTGGGGAGGGTTGGAGGGGAGGGTAAGCCATCAACCGAAGGACTTGTATGCATGCATATAAGCATAACCAATTGACATAAGACACTGGGGGCGGGGAGGGGAGGCCAGGGAATTGTCAAGGGTGGGGAAAAACGGAGACATATGTAATACTCTTTGTAATACTTTAAGCAATGAAACAATTAAAAAAATAATAAAAAAAAATAAAATGGTAAAAATAAATAAATAAATAAATAAAAATTTTAAAAGGTTATGTAATTGCCAGCTTCTGACCAATAGCTATTTCCATTCTGTTCATACATTAACCCTATAGTTCTAGACAGTGTGTTTGTATATATGTGTATTCACAATTTCTTTAAACTCTCAGACTTTGCTGAAGATGTTATTTGCCATTTAAATACTTAATAAGGATAGGATATTTAATAAGGATAGGATACTTACTTGTTAGTATTAGTGAGTGATACAATCTAAGAAAAAACTAAAAAACTAAATGATAATGCAGTAATAAGCAACCAGAAAACAAAACAAAAAACTCAATGCCTTGCCCTGGCTGGTTTGGCTCAGTGGATCGAGCATCGGCCTGAGGACTGAAGATTCCTGGGTTCGATTCCAGCCAAGAGCACATGCCCAGGTTTCGGGCTCGGTTACCAGTAGGGGGTGTGCAGGAGGCAGCCAATAGGTGATTCTCTTTCATCATTGATGTTTCTATCTCCTTCTCCCTTCCTCTCTGAAATCAATAAAAAATATTTTTTAAAAAACCCTCAGTGCCTTAAAACAACAAAGTTTTACTCCTCCCTCACTTTATGGTATTGGCTGTGTTATGGAATCACTTCCACTCTGGGATCCAGGCTGAAGAAACTGCCCTATCTGGGATATTGCCATTTTATAGTGGAGGAAAAAGGAGATGGTCCAACCATGTGAGGCTCTTCAAACTTTTGCTTGGAACTGGCATATTACTTCAATTCACATTTCATTATTCACACAGTTATGTGGCTAATTCTGGTGTGAGTGAAGTGAGAATTACAGCCTTTCCACTAGGGAAAGAGGAGCAGTGAATGTTTTCATAACAGTTTCCCTCATTACATTCTTGTAAAGATAAAATGAACTATCTACAATAATAAAAATGTAATATGCTAATTAGACTGAACAGCCAAATGACCTTCCAGATGTCCTCCCAAACGAAGCCATGGCAGCGGGGGCCAAGGCAGAGGCGGTTAGGGACGGTTAGACACGCAGGTGAGTGGTTAGGAGTGATCAGGCAGGCAGGCAAGCGGTTAGGAGCCAGCAGTCCTGGATTGTGAGAGGGTGCAGGCCAGGCTGAGAAACACACACACACACACACACCTTGCGCACGAATTCCGTGCACCAGGCCTCTAGTCTATAATAATAAAAGCGTCATATGCTAATTAAACCGGACGTCCTTCCAGACAAAGCCAGGGGCTGCGAGGGCCAAGGCAGCCACTGCGGCAGGGGCCAAGCCCTTTGCACAAATTTTGTGCATTGAGCCTCTAGTTAAATAAAAGTATCTAAGAAGAAGAAACTTAAACTTTTCCTAAAGTATAGTGGAATATCTCATTAATTTAGAAGTTGATGACTTATACAAGGCATATATAAGCTTACTTTGGCAATATAAATGTTGTAAGTGTTTACTAAAACAACAAATAATATAATTTCATTAACCAATGTAACCCCAATAAATTTAATTTTTTAGAAAATAGTGTATCTATGTCAAAGTGCTTAATTTTATGGGGAACAGATTTTGAGCACTTAACATATATTTCCTTACATACACCAGTATCCGAGAAAGTATTCTGGTAGAAGACTAGTCCTTAGGTGTCAATAAGGAGGAATGTTTCTGGAGTTATACTATATGCCGCTTCTTGGATATTTAGTGTACATCAGAATATGAAATTCTTGAAGAAATCCTTTTGTTCATTTAGTTTTGCTTAGCCCAGTATTTATTTCCCTGATTTATTTGACTTTGGAACCTATTTGCTGAGCAATACCTAATAAATTTTCTTAAGGAAATCCTGGCAGGAGGAAGTTGGTAAGCTGATTATAATTTATTCATTAGATCTAGCTCTTCAGTGCTTGTCAACCTCTTTGTTAATTTTAGTAGTGGTTTGTTAGTTTTCGTAATAGAAATCAAGTGCATTTTCTTTTTTAATCTCAGAGTATCCCACCCAGTTCAGGGAAATTCCATGTAGAATTATTCTGAATTGGATGCAGTCTGTGTTCAGGTACTCTGTTGGTATGTATTCTCTGACTCCTGGATCTGGATCCTTAAAGGAGCCCCAGTACCACTCAGAGACACTCATTACCTCAGAAGTCTTATAATGGCATAACATAGCTGACATTTTTAAGATTACAATTGTGGGATAAGCATATTTTTAGGTTGAAGTTTTTAAAAAAATATTAAGACAAAAACATGCCCAAGTTCATGTTTTAAAACTGTTTTATTCCTGTAATGAGAAAACAATGATGACAAATTAAAACCTCATCTTAGACCAGTGGTTCCCAGCGTGGGGCACATGTCCCACAAGGGGGCAATTTGATTTTTAAGGGGGGCAATTTGAGAATGAGTTATTAACAATGAATTTTTGCATTTGTTATGGTTCTAGGGGCCTAAAATACAGTATATAAATATATATTTTGACATATTTATGCATTTTAGTTCTCTATTATGTTTTGAAACTTTATTTGCTATTTTTCATATCACTTCATATTATTATTATTTTTTTAAACAATTTCTTAGTGTTTCTTCCTCAGTACTTCAACTGTCCTTTCGTTCTTTTGTTTTTCTCTTTCATGAATGCCATGTTCTTTGGAAGCGTGTTTAGACCAAATTAATGACCTTTTAGGCTTCCTCCATGTGAACAGGAGTTCACTTTTTGAATAATAGGAATTATATATATGTCACAAGGAGGGGCGGGGGCATCAGGATTTTAAAGATGCTTAGGTGGGGGATGGCCAAAAAAGGTTGGGAACCACTGTCCTACGCATTAACCCATTCTTATACAATCTTGCAAGAGTCATTAAAAATTAATATGGACTTTTCTATTTTTTTTGTTTGTTTGTTTGTTTTGTTCTCTGTTAGGGTAAAAGTAAAGTTTAAGATAAAGGAAGTCAATTTAGAGGTTAACAAATACAACTTCTAGAACTAGAAAATTGAGGGTTGATTTTAGATAAGAAATGTGTTGGTGGTTCTTTTTATGGAATGCTTATGTATACCCACAGCTCAGCCAGCAGGAGTGCCAGAAATCTTAAAGAAAAGTTTGCATAGCTGTTCAGTGAAAGGAGAGGAAGAAGTATTTTTAATTGGCAAGAACTTTCTGAAAGGAACTAAAGTGATTTTCCAAGAAAATGTTTCTGGTAAGTAGACATAATACTACTGATATAGAGATTGTTGCATGTTTCAGTTTGTTATAAAGCTATAGTTATAACTACAAAGTAAAAAAAAATCAAAATTTTAGTAAATCACTGTTTTTGTTTCAATCAGATGAAAACTCTTGGAAGTCAGAAGCTGAAATCGACATGGAATTATTTCATCAGGTATAATTTTAAGACTTAAAAATTTTTATTTTATTGATTTCAGAAAGGATGGAGGGGAGAGAGAGATAGAAGCTTTAACAATGAGAGAGAATCATCCATTAGCTGCCTCCTGCATATTCCATCTCCCTCCCGTGCTCCGGGGAGCCTGCAGCCAGGAATCTTGGTTCAGAGGTCTTGCTCAACCACTGAGCCACGCCCCCTAGACTAATTTAAGACTTTTTATAGTTTGATTGTTTACTCTCTGAGAAATTCGGTTTTGTTCCAAAATTTCCTGAATCAAAAGATTAATTTTTTTCTTTATATGGGATTGATAGAAATCATTTAAAGTTTCTTGAGTTTAACTGAAATAAAACTATGCCACTGATGCTAGAAGTGACAATTCTCTATTTTAAAAAAGTTTAAAAGCATTAGCAAATTGCATTGCTAATAAATGAAACATTTCTTTCTTAATATTTATTTGTTCTGGGGATTTGGATTATCTTAACCTACTATTAGTTAAATCAAAGAAAATTTTTTTATTAAGTGTCTATGTTCCAAGTGTTTTTATGTTTGTTAGTTACCTTTTTGCATTCAGAAGAACAATTTGTTACACCTGTATTAAAGAGTGTGTATTTGTTGGCACTCACTATGTATTTTTAGATAATAAGAAAAAAGAGCTTGAAAACAAGGAGAGAAAAATAACTTAATTAGTATGTAGAGCAAATAGGAGCAAACTCAGGTATTGAGACAACAGAAGAGAACAAATTTATATGCAAATCAGATAGAAGACTAGAAAAACGGTAGTATGTTTAGGTATAGATCATAGAGAACAGAGGAGCAGGAACATTCTAATGTGTAAAATACTCAAAGCCTAAAATATCAAATGCTGATAAAAATAGAAAAGAGCACATGAAAGCTAGCAGAGAGCTAGAAGAGGCAAAAAATTGAAACTTTATATCCAATTTATCAAAAAATATTAAGACGAAAAAGTTTGTAATTCTTTTGTGTTTTAAGAAAAATCTTAGACACAAATTAAATGCTCTGAAATCGAAGCCTTAACCTTGGCCTTGTCACATGTTCTTTTCAACTGAGTCAACCAACTATAGTCTAAGTAAAAAATGTCATCAAATTCACTTCACCCTCAGCTGTCATCATTTGCCTCCTGCATATATTGTCCTCTGTACAAAAGCATAATCACCATCCCTTGATGTTCCTTCCCATTACTATATTGTACCAACGAAGAAGAGAATACGTCCAATATTGTTCACAGTATCTTCCAAGAAGATGTGGCAACCTTGAGTAACTGCTGGTGAAGCATTTATGAACTTTCCTTTTCTTATAAGGATGTTTCTGCCACTATTCTGACAAAAAAATAACTTTGATTTCCAGGGTTAGGGTAGACTGAACCCTACTTGGTTAAATGAGGGTAAATTTGACTTAATTTGGGTAAACTGAAGCCTATTTGACTAAGTGATTAGGAAGCAGTGAACCGCTTTGTAAAGTACACCTCAATTAAGGTTGTACAGAACATATGGTAACTGATACTGTGCTTGGTGGGCATAGTTTTTTCTCAAAATGTACTCATTCTTTTATTCAACAAATATATTTATGTGTTTTTTGTATAAGGTGCTAACAGGATAAATAGAATTAAGACCAAAACATCCTATGTTCTCATGGACCTTCTTGAGGGTGGAGGGAGAAGAAGAAAAAAGCACATTATCACAGTAATTTCAGGTAGTGATAAATAATAATTTAGAAAGAAACAAGATTATGTGTTCAGGACTAAGAGGGGTGCCACTTTTAAAAGGATGGTCAGAGATGGCTTCTCTGAGGAGAAAACATTTGAGTAATACCAAAAATGGGTAAGAAACTAGCCATTTTAAGAGGTGAAGGAAGAATATTCTAGTGGGAAAGAACAGCAGGTTGTAAAGGCTCTGAGCTAAAAGTGGATTTAGTGTGTTAAAAGAATGGACTGAGAAGGTCAGTATGCCTAGAGCAGTGGTCGGCAAACTGCCGCTCGCAAGGCATGCGGCTCTTTGGCCCCTTGAGTGTGGCTATTCCACAAAATACCGACTTCTGCGCATGGGCCACGAAGTTTCAGTCGCACTGTATGTGCGCACCAGCACGTGGTATTTTGTGGAAGAACCACACTCAAGGGGCCAAAGAGCCGCATGTGGCTTGAGAGCCGCGGTTTGCCGACCACTGGCCTAGAGTATAAATGATCTGGGGAAAATGGGGATAAGAGAAAGTTGTCAGGGCAGGAACCTTGTTAGTCATTATAAAACATTTGGATTTTGTCTTGAAAATAGTTTTAAGATTAATATCCTGGCCCTAACGGGGTTGGCTCAGTGGATAGAACATCGGCCTGTGGATTGAAGAGTCCCAGGTTGGATTCCGGTCAAGGGCATGTACCTTGGTTGCGGACACATACCCAGTAGGGAGTGTGCAGGAGGCAGCTGATCGATGTTTCTCTCTCATCGATGTTTCTAACTCTCCATCCATCTCCCTTCCTCTCTGTCAAAAAAATAAATAAATCAATAAAACATATTTTTAAAAAAAGATTAATATCCTGATGTCTATGAACCTGAGCTTTAAAATAATTTTTCTAGTCAGACTTTTGACCTTTATTGCTTATAGGAAATATACTTAATTATAATTTTCATTTCAAATTTTTTATTTAAATATTGCTTCTTTTCTGACTCTTATAATTTTCTTTCAATTAGAATCATCTTATTGTAAAGGTTCCCCCATATCATGACCAACATATAACTTTGCCAGTATCAGTGGGAATATATGTAGTGACCAATGCTGGAAGATCTCATGATGTTCAACCATTTACTTACACTCCAGACCCAGGTATGTCAAAATAAAAAAGTCTGAACTAAAATGAATGATTAATTTCTGGTACTTTGGAAGAATATGAAGACCAGCCAACCAAAATGAAAAAGTGGTAGCCTGGCTGGTGTGGCTCAGTGGTTGAGTGTCCACCTATGAACCAGGAGTCATGGTTGGATTCCCAGTTAGGGCACGTACCCTATTTGTGGGGCTGGATCCCCAGTAGGAAGCGTGTAGGAGACAATCAATCAATGATTCTCTCTCATCATTGATGTTTCTATCTTTCTCTCCTTCTTCCTTTCTCTCTGAAATTAAAAAAAAAAATTTTTTTTTTTAAAAGAGCATGGCTTTTGAAAAAGAAAGAAAAGAAAAGCTAGGAATGCTCTGAAGAGTTATCATACAGCTTACTCTTTAGTAAGAATTAACATTCATTGAGTTTCTCTAGTGTTCAGAAAAATAAAAGTGACAACTTTGGGAAACTGCTAATAATTTAGCCTAGCTGGTTTACAGGATTGCCTTTTGGGAGAGAGAAGAGATACGCTTGTCATGATGAGTGGTAAGAATCACAAATAGAGTTATATGCCTATAACATTTTCTAATCTGTATAATAAAAAATATCAAAGACTGCTGGTGAATAAATATTTTAAACATAATTTTAAGCATTTAGGCAAAATAGATGCTTTAGAAACCAGAGCAGTAAGAGCAATTGAAATGTTAAAAATTTAGAAGATCTGCCCTGGCTGGGTAGCTCAGTTGGGGTTAGAGCATTAATCTTTTTTTTTTTCTTAATAGCAGCAGCTGGTGCTTTGAATGTAAATGTGAAGAAGGAAATATCTAGTCCAGCAAGACCTTGCTCTTTTGAAGAGGCCATGAAAGGTACTAAGTTGATTCTCATATATTTTCTCTAACAAACTTTACTATTTTGTTTTCTCTTATGTACTTGGAACACTTAGCAGGGTCTCATCTATACTGTAAAATAAATATTTGTTTTTTACTGAATGCAGAGATTTGTTTCCCAACTTGATATTTCCCTTCATTCACCATGTAAACTTTTTTTTTTTAACATATTAGAGTGGAGTTTTTTGTTTTTTTCTTTGTTTTCCATTCCCCAATATTAAAAATCTTAAAAGTATATGTAAAGTACAATAATGTATGTAAAAAAATTTCTACTAATAAGATTAGTACTTGACATTGAGACTGAAGAGACCAAAATATGAACTATCTACATTTGAAAAAGTTGCTTTAGGCTCTTTCTTCTGATATTTTTATTTACTCCTTTGCCAGTCCGAAGAGATAACAAAGGTATATCTTCAGGATGTTATGTGATAGATTCTTTTCTCAGATTTCTAATACAGCTATGATACTTAGTGATACTTTTGTGCCATTATAAATGAAGATGTCAATTACATAATGGCCATTGGTTTATTCCTATAATCCTAGCTTTTATTTATATCTTTCTGCCATGAAATTCATGAGTTAAATAAAATTAAATTATAAAATTAAAAATATTTACATTTAAAAGGGAATATTATGCTTAATAAATTTTATCAAATTTGGTAGCTTTGTTTTCTATTGTCAGTAGTAAAATTTAGCTTTCATGTATATAATGTGTTGAGTATAGCTTGCCATTATAAATTCTGATCACAAACACTTTCCCGGAGTAGATTAGTGAGAAATTTTGCACTGATGAGTAAACTGCCAAGATTATCTGATTCAAATACAAGAAAATTTATAAATCTGTGCTATATATAATCATAGCTAATGCACATTGGACATATATTAAGTGCTGAGCAATAATGCCACACTCTTCATTGGCATTATCTCATTTAATCTTCCAAACTCTATGAGGTAGGTAATTTATTATTCTCATTTCATAGATGAGGAAAACAAGGTTTCAGGGAGGTTAAATAATTTGCCCAAGGTCGCTTAGCTAGGATTAAAAAAGATAGGTTAAACTTCAGTATAAAAGTAACACCTCTAAGCAAAAATAATTCAAACCATGTTATTAGATAAATAATACCATAATTAATTAATCATTAAAGAAAGTCTTGCCCTAGCTGGTTTGGCTCAGTGGATAGAGTGTTGGCCTGCAGACTGAAGGGTCCCGGGTTCGATTCCAGTCCAGGGGCACATGCCTGGATTGTGGGCTGGATCACCAGTAAGGGGCATGTAGGAGGCAGCCGATCAATGATTCTCTCTCATCATTGATGTTTCTATCTCTCTCTCCCTCTCTCTTCTTCTTTGAAATCAATAAAAATATATTAAAAAAAAGAAAGTCTTGAACATTTGTGGTCTATCCTTTGCCAACTTTGTGCTCTTCTACAAAAATTCCTTGATGCTTCCTTTCATGGAATATCAGGCAGATAGAACAGTAACCTAATCCAGTGTGAAATTTATCGTACAAGATTATGAATTGAAGGTAGTCAATTGATCCAAATCTTACAAGCCTAAAAAAGGATACAAACATACATGCATGTATTACTCTTTTTCAAAATTCAGACCTCCTTATTTTGACAATTTTATCAACTTAAATCATGATAAAAATAATTTTATGAAGATATAAAATTAAATTGAATACTCAGCTAACTGTTTAAAATTTTCATTTGTTTTTATAAATAAGGTATCATTAATTAGGAAGTACTGATCATTTTAAAAGACAATAGCTTTTAAAACCAGGAATTTTCATTGACAAATGGCTTATTTTTATTCCATGAAATCACAGCTTTAGTATAATGCCACGGTACCATTTCGGAGATTTAATTAAGTATACTTTAATGATGAAAACTGAGCAACATAAATGACTTTTAAATTTGTGTTATGGCATTAATCCTCTAAGAAACAGTCTGACAAATAACCATTAATTACAATAAGATTTAAAACTTGATGCCCAATATGATGTTATGGTCATATATTGAAAGCTTTTGCTCTGAAGTAAGTTTCTAATTCCTTGGAGAGAGTTTGGAAGAGTGGGGAGTAAGGATAACAACTAGTGCCAAAGCATTTGATTCATTTTTCGTTTTAGCCAACTGTGTATATATCCTTAACACAAAGTAATGCATATTAAATAAGATAAAGTATACAGTGTAAACTATTATTAACAGTTTTTTGGGGAATATTTCCACAAAGTTTTCTATATCTATATAGATGTGAGTGTAAATGTTAGCTAAATTGCTCAAAGACTCTGTGATGGAGGTTCAAGACCCAGGGATAAAGTGTTGATGTGCATTCTCTCAGTTTCAGCTTAATAAGGAGTGGTTAATTGGATTAGTGTGAAAAATAGTTGAGAGCATATACTTTTCTCTACTGGTTGGATAGGGAAAGGTTTAGGAGCTTTGAGGAGCCATAGAGATAATCTAGTTCAATCGAATTTTACAGGTGATAAACCAAGGCCTAAAGAAGTTGTGATTTACTCAAGGTCATACAGCTAGTAACTGACAGAGATTACAACTTAGGTTGCCCTCAAAATTCTATATTTTTTCACTCTATTATTCCCTACCCTATAAATCTTGTTGTTGTTATTGTTAAACCTTACCTGAGTATATTTTTCCATTGATTTTTAGAGAGAGTGGAAGGGATGGGGAGAGACAGAGAAACATCTGTGTGAGAGATACATCCACTGATTGTCTCCCACACATGCCCTCACCGGGGCTAGGGATCAAGTCTGCAACCAAGGTTCATGCTCTTGACCAGAATCAAACCCTTCAGTCCACAGGCTGACACACTGTCTACTGAGCCAAACCAGCTAGGGCACTCCCCTTAAATCTTTATTTTAACCATACATATTTGTACTTGACCTTATCATTTTATGCTGCTTGCTGATAACAAACTTTTACTAAGGATTGTTCTAAGTTTCAAAAGTTGTTATTATTTGACATCAATAGAAGAGAGCACTTTAAAAGTTGTTTGGCATAATGTGTCAATACCAATATTCCTTATAAATTCAAATTGCTATTGGGATGGATAAATATGTCTATCTTATTTACCTTCTGCATTTTTTGAATTGGCTTAAAAGTTTTCCCCCAACCCCTAGGTCGTTTGTATTTTACATGTTTGTATTTTTTTTTCTCTCACTAAAATGTAATTTTCACTAGTAGGGCTTTTATCCATCTTATTCATCATCACTAATCCCCAAAACCTTGAACAGTACCTAGAACTTTGTAAAGGGCTCAATAAATACCTAGTGAAAAAGAAGGAAGAAAAGAGCGTGACATCTCTCAAGCCATTTACTATTATTTACAGGTCCATTAAGATACAGTTGTGGGTTCTGGGACAAGAAAATATGTACTTACTTTTCCCTTTTCCTCCCTCCTAAATCTACTAAATACCTTAGAAATAATTGAACAATCATAAAAGGACTTCAAAATATAGAGAGAAGAAAGACTGGCTAGGGACCTCATATTTTGAAGAATGACACCAAGTCCTGTGTTCTCCTTTTATCTCCCATTTATCTGGATTGGGCACTAGAGAGGTCTGCTACTCAGAACTGGCAATGGGCATAGGCAAAAAATAAGTCAGTAAATAAGCATGAAAAGCCTGCTCTCTTTGGCCAGAAGACCAGGAAAGGGAAAGCCCAGCAAAGACTTTTGTTGGGATGACTCCTATTTAGTGACAGCAACTGACCCACCCCCTCCACCTATACCTGCAGTAGCAATACAGAACTTGGGGGGGTCAACCCACCTCATCCTGCATACCTATCAATTAACAGTGGGCCTAGTCTGCCAGGAGGTCAGTCTAACTGCAGTGATGGCAATGGCAGAACCAGGGGCGCAACCCCACCACTACCAGGCAGCAGCACATGCCCCTCCACCCGCATTGGTGGTGCCAGCAGGGCCTTGTGTCTCCCCTGTTCTTCCCCTGACAGCAGACAGAGACCCAGACCTAGCAGCTCCTAGCCCTCCACCTAAGAGCAGAGAAAGATCCAGGCCAAGTGTATCCCAACCCTCCACCCAGTGACAGAAGGCTCTATTTGGTGGCAGAAGGTGAACAGACCCAAACCTCGTCCTAGTGACATGAGCTACCCACACCCTGCAGTCGACCTTCTACCCAGTGGCAGAAGTCAGCCTACCTACATGCTTCCCCAGCACCAGCAGAGATAGAACAGGAAGCCCGTTAGTACCAGGAAGCTAGAACATATACCAGAAGAAATGCTTTTCCTCTTGCAGGTCAAGCATCCCTCATCCCCACCTAGTAACACCAGACAGCCCAGAGAAGCACTTTCCACGCTTGCAGGCAGCACCAACAGGATTCCAGCTGGAATTCATGCAGAGCTAGAACAGAATACTGACCAGAATAGGACTCAGAAAACGAAATTGTCAATGGTCATAGAAAGACTTGTATCTTTTGTGTGGGCATTTTAAAAAGTGTCCTTTTCTTATTTATCTACACCAGTAGACATACCTGCTTGTCAGTGGGCTCCTTTGGAGAAGTAAAAGACTCTTGCTCAACCTATTCCACCTATTCTCACTTTCCAGAAGGGAAATAAAACTAAAATGATAAGGATTTTTCTCTAAATAAATTTTGGGGAAAATTATGTATAGACCTGTTAAGCAGTAACTGTAGGTAGATGCATTTATATGTCAATGGATATTTATAAGCAATGTCTAATTGAACTATAATATAAATTTGTCTTTAGATATTGGAAATTTTTAGACCAAAAATACTATTAATGACAATATGCAACACACTGCATTGTAAAATTAACCAAACAATGAACTAAATTGACTATGATAAAGGTAAAGAAAGATTAATTCATCCATTTCTTCATTCAACAAATATTCATTGATTGCTTACTATACATCATGCAACAAGAACAAAATCTCTGCCTTCATGGAGCTCACATTGTAATAGAATTCAAAAGGAAGAATAGCAGTTGAATGTTATTCAAGACAACACTAATAGTCTTTAAAATTTTCCTATGAGATGGGCCACAAATACTTTTAAATGCCTCACATTTTCTCTCAGTAAAAATTAGATTTTGAGTTTAATTGTAGAAGTATTGGTAGAATCTAGGTGAAAATAGGTCCAGGGAACTCAAGAATAAATGATACATTCCTCAGAATAATAAAGCGTAGAATATCCAAAGTTAAATTTAAGAGCACTTTCCCCTTCCTCAGTATAATCAGTTTCCACAGGAATTATTTCTAGCCATTGGCTATGAGACAAGTTGAAGTAAGATCAGAAAGTTTCAAATATTTCTAAATCAGAATATTTACAAAGGTGGCAATCTTACTCATATATCATTTAAAATTCTTCTTTGTTGCCAAGATTTCTTCTTAATATCAAATTAAGAAATTTAACAGCTATGCATTCTGGGGAATCTATATTTCTCTCCACAGGGTTTCAGAGTAGTGGTAATCTTTTAGATCAGAATTTGGGTATGTGTTCAATTTAGAAGACTGTCATTAGTGATGTCAGTAGGCGTCACTAAGTCCACCAATGGCTGACTCACATAGACAAAAAAAGGAAAGGAAGGAAAGAAGGGAGGGAGGGAGGAAGGAAGAATCAAGGGGGAAAAGTAGATATAATGAAGTGATAAAATGTACCTCATCTGCTATATATTGCTTCTCAGTGTAAATCTCTATTGAAAATGGGAATAAAAAGAAGTGAAAAATACTTGCTGGTTTTGTTTTGGAAATTTAGTTGGTAAACTAAAATAGTCCTTAAATTTCTAAAAAGAAAATATTTTAAGTCCTATCTAAAAGAGAAATGTGTTCATGTGTCAACTTGTCAAATTCAAGTTTTCTAAGACATTAATTTAGAAACGCAAAATTTATTTCGTTACTTGGTGGCCAAGCTTCTCATAAGAAGCTTGAGCGTGGTTCAGTGGTTGATCATCCACCCTGAATTAAGAGGTAACTGGTTCGATTCCTGATCAGGGCATGTGCCTGGGTTGCAGGCTGTGTTCCCAGTAGTGGGCATGCAGGAGGCAGCTGATTGATGTTTCTCATCGATATTTCTATTCTTCTATCACTCTTCCTTCCTCAAGCCAAAGCTGCTTCAAAAAAGGGAGGATACATTTTGATATGCCAGTTTTGTATCTCATGCTACATAACATAAAAAAAAAAATGGACTTTTAAATATGGCTAATAATCATCACACTATATAGAATGAAATAGTTGATGACTTTAGTGATTTTAAGCTTTTCTTTCTTTTTTTGTGTGTGTGTCTGTGTGTGCAGCTATAAAGACTACTGGATGTAATTTAGATAAGGTAAATATTCTTCCTAATGCTCTGATCACTCCACTCATATCAAGCAGTATGATTAAGAGTGAAGATGTTACTCCAATGGAAGTGACAGCAGAAAAAAGATCTCCTATTTTTAAGGTAAGCCAGCCGTATTGACAAGTGTCCCCCATCTTAACCTCAAATATAAAAATTACTTTTTATATTTTAAGTGGTTTGATTTCTTTTCTCCATGTTTATGCTTTTTACTTTTTCTGTTTCTTTCACATTTGTTTTTCTTTAGATGCACTTAATGAATTTTGCTTTTCAGAGTAAGTGCTTTTATACTCCAGTAAAGTAGCCTGCCTTTAAAGTGACTTTCAGTGTCTATTTTTGACAAGCAAGAAGGAATTAATGTGTTAGCTAGACCTATGAGATGGAGGGTGTTAATGAAAGTACTGGTTAGCATTTTTAAAATTAGAGACATTTTTATTTCCTTTTCTTTCCCACTCTTCCTGTAACTCCCTTTCCCTTTTTCATTTGTTTTCCTCCTACAATGTTACCAGTAAACCACAAAATGGGAATAAATATATTTTAAATACATTTTATTGATTTTTTACAGAGAGGAAGGGAGAGGGATAGACAGTTAGAAACATCGATGAGAGAGAAACATCGATCAGCTGCCTCCTGCACACCTCCTACTGGGGATGTGCCTGCAATCAAGGTACATGCCCTTGACTGGAATCGAACCTGGGACCCTACAGTCTGCAGGCCAATGCTCTATCCACTGAGCCAAACTGGTTAGGGCAAAATGGGAATATTTTTTAGCTTGCTATTAATTCATGAACCATAGAATTAATGTTTTAACTGACCTAAGCATATCAATAGCTGATTACTTTACATATTAATTTATATATATATTTGATTTCAGAGAGGAAGGAAGAGGAAGAGAGAGATAGAAACATCAATGATAAGAGAGAATCATTGATCAGCTGCCTCCTGCACACCCCACACTGGGGATTGATTCCGTAACCCAAGCATGTGCCCTGACCGAGAATCAAACCATGACCTCCTGGTTCATAGGTCAATGCTCAGCCACTGAGCCACACTGGCTGGGCAGTTGATTATTCTTTTACTTCCTTATTTGACTGTCTTTGTTTATAATACATACTAGAGGCCCAGTGCACGAATTTGTGCACCAGTGGGGTCCCTCGGACTGCCCTGTGGGATTGGGCCGAAACTGGCTCTCCAACATCCTCCGAGGGGTCCCGGATTGTGAGAGAGTGCAGGCCAGGCCAAGGGACCCCACTGGTGAAGGATCGGGGCCAGGGAGGGACCATGGGAGGGCTCCAGGGTGTGTCTGGCCCGTCTCACTCAGTCCTGACCGGCCAGACCTCAGTAGCAAGTCAACCTACCAGTCAGAGTGTCTGCCCCCTGGTGGTCAGTGCACGTCATAGTGTCTGGTTGACTGATCAACTGTCTGCCCCCTGGTGGTCAGTGCATGTCATAGTGCCTGGTTGACCGGTCAACTGTCTGCCCCCTGGTGGTCAGTGCACATCATAGTGAATGGTTGAGCGGTCTTAGCATATCATTAGCATATTACACTTGTGATTGGTTGAATGGACAATCAGACACGTAGCATATTAGGCTTTTATTATATAGGATTTTAAAAATACTCTTTAGACAATCAGACATGTATCACCAGAAATCATAGTCTTATACCTATTTTCCAAATAATGTCGAGTGGAAAATTGGTCCTGCATATGCATATGTTTTTAGGCTAATACTAATTTTTGAAGTATCACCTGAGCTCATTTAATGGTTATTAATTAATATTATCTGGGAATTTTTATTTTTCAGACTACAAAGACAGTTGGATCAACTCAACAAACATTAGAAAATATCTCTAATATGACAGGAAATGGCTCTTTTTCATCATCATCATCTTCTCACTTACCCTCTGAAAATGAAAAGCAGCAGCAGATTCAGCCCAAGGCATACAATCCAGAAACCCTGACAACTATCCAAACACAGGACATTTCACAGCCTGGTACCTTTCCAACAGTTTCTGCTTCTAGTCAGCTGCCTAACAGTGATGCACTACTGCAGCAGGCCACACAGTTTCAGACAAGAGAAACTCAATCTAGAGAGGTATTACAGTCAGATGGAACTGTGATTAATTTGTCACACCTGACTGAGGCATCACAGCAACAGCAGCAGTCACCACTACAAGAACAAGCACAGACTTTACAGCAGCAGATTTCATCAAGTATGTTCCCATCACCAAGTAGTGTGAGTCAGATACAGAACACCATTCAGCAGTTGCAAGCTGGAAGTTTTAGCGGCAGTACTGCTAGTGGCAGCAGTGGAAATGTTGACTTGGTTTTAGAGGCACAACAAGTTTTAGAGGCACAACAACAGTTATCTTCAGTTTTGTTTTCTTCTCCAGATGGTAATGAGAATGTTCAAGAACAGCTTAGTGCAGACATTTTTCAACAAGTCAGTCAAATTCAAAATAGTGTAAGCCCTGGAATGTTTTCCCCGACAGAGCCAGCAGTCCATACCAGACCAGATAATTTAATAGCTGGAAGAGCTGAAAGTGTTCACTCACAGACCGAAAACACATTATCTAATCAACAGCAGCAGCAACAGCAACAGCAGGTGATGGAATCATCAGCTGCAATGGTGATGGAGATGCAACAGAGTATCTGCCAGGCTCAGATTCAGTCGGAATTATTTCCTTCAACTGCTTCAGCAAATGGAAATCTTCAGCAATCTCCAGTTTACCAGCAGACTCCTCATATGATGAGTGCATTACCTACCAGTGAAGACATGCAAATGCAATGTGAATTGTTTTCTTCTCCTCCTGCAGTTTCTGGAAATGAAACTAATACAACCACCACACAGCAGGTTGCAACCCCTGGCACTACCATGTTTCAAACGTCAAGTTCAGGAGATGGAGAGGAAACAGGCACACAAGCAAAACAGATGCAGAACAGTGTCTTTCAGACCATTGTCCAAATGCAACATAGTGGGGACAGTCAACCTCAAGTTAACCTTTTTTCATCTACAAAAAGTATGATGAGTGTTCAAAATAGTGGTGCCCAGCAACAAGGTAATGGTTTATTCCAGCAAGGTAATGAGATGATGTCACTCCAATCTGGAAATTTTTTGCAGCAGCCTTCTCATTCACAGGCTCAGCTTTTTCATCCTCAAAATCCTATTGCTGATGCTCAGAACCTTTCCCAGGAAACTCAAGGCTCTATTTTTCACAGCCCAAGTCCTATTGTTCACAGTCAGACTTCTACAACCTCCACTGAACAGATGCAGCCTCCAATGTTTCACTCTCAAAGTACCATGGCTGTGCTACAGGGCTCTAATGTTTCTCAAGATCAGCAGTCAGCCAACATATTTATTTCCCAAAGTCCAATGAATAATCTTCAGGCTAATGCAGTAGCCCAGGAAGAACAGATTTCATTTTTTGCAGCTCAGAACTCAATTTCTCCACTTCAGTCAACGTCAAACACTGAGCAGCAAACTGCTTTCCAACAGCAGCCTCCAATGTCACACATTCAGACCCCCATGCTTTCTCAAGAACAGGCACAACCCTCCCAACAAGGTCTGTTTCAGCCTCAGGTATCCCTGGGCTCCCTTCCTCCTAATCCAATGCCTCAAAACCAACAAGGGACAATCTTCCAGGCACAGCACTCAATAGTTGCCATCCAGAGTAATTCCCCATCCCAGGAGCAGCAGCAGCAGCAACAGCAGCAGCAACAGCAGCAGCAACAGCAGCAACAACAACAGAGTATTTTATTCAGTAATCAGAATACCATGGCCACAATGGCATCTCAAAAACCACCACCACCAAACATGATATTCAACCCAAGTCAAAATCCAATGGCTAATCAGGAGCAACAGAACCAGTCAATTTTTCACCAACAAAATAATATGGCCACAATGAATCAAGAGCAACAACAGCCCATGCAATTTCAGAACCAGCCCACAGTTTCCTCACTTCAAAACCCAGGTCCTACCCAGTCTGAATCGTCACAGACTTCCTTGTTCCATAGCTCTCCTCAGATGCAGCTGGTCCAGGGGTCACCCAGTTCTCAAGAGCAGCAAGTAACTCTCTTCCTCTCTCCAGCATCCATGTCTGCATTGCAGACCAGTATAAACCAACAAGAGATGCAACAGTCTCCTCTTTATTCCCCTCAGAACAACATGCCTGGAATTCAAGGAGCCACATCTTCACCTCAACCACAGGCTACTTTATTTCACAACACTACAGGAGGCACAATGAACCAACTACAAAATTCCCCTGGCTCATCTCAGCAGACTTCAGGAATGTTCTTATTTGGCATTCAAAATAGTAAGAAACTCTAATTTCTCATTTCTTAAATGTTATTGGTTTAAATGGTCAAAGTATTATTATTAGAAGGAAGCAAAGCACAGTGGTTTTAAGAACACAGTTTATAGTTTGTCAGAACTGAGTTCAAGTCCCAGTTATACCAGGAATAGACTGTGAGATCTTAGACAAGTTGACTGGCATGAACCTCAGTTTGCACATCTAATAAAATGGTGGTAATATTATATACTTGACAAGGATATTGGGAGGATTAAATGTGGTAGTGTATGTGTTTGCCACTTTAACCTATGAACTTGAAAGGAAAATGAAGAATGACAGAAAATCTCAGCCAATTTAAGTAGTTTCCAAGGAGGTAAAAGCCCATCTTTAATGTTTATGTACCAAGGAAATTATATAAGACTTAAGATGGTAGCTGGACAAAGCTGTGTTTGTATACTGCTAAGAGGAAACCAGAGATGAATATCAGTACTTTTTGGGGGGCTGTCAGGTGCCTCACTTTTAGTTCTATGCTGAGTGAGCACAATAATGACTTACCCCCAACAACTAATTCATATCTTCTTGTGAATCTTAAGAGAAAGTAACTAATCAGATAGCTTCTCTATTTAAAATGTCTCTGCAGACTGTAATCAGCTTTTAACTTCTGGACCAGCTGCATTGCCAGATCAGTTGATGGCCATAAGTCAGCCAGGCCAACCACAAAACGAGGGCCAGCCACCTGTCACAACACTTCTTTCTCAGCAAATGCCAGAGAATTCTCCACTGGCATCCTCTATGAACACCAACCAGAACATTGAAAAGATTGATTTGCTTGTTTCATTGCAAAACCAAGGGAACAACATGACTGGCTCCTTTTAACTGGATATGTAAGTATTGCATTTTGGCTTCTTTTTTTATTGAAAAGCATCAATGAATTTTATTATTCCAAGCAGATTTGGTTAAGTAAATGTGGTGTACTCACCAGGTGGTACTTTATTTTACTCTGAATAAGTTATTCGATATGTGATAGCTTATGGTCATATTGTTAATACTGGGCATTCCACCCTAGCCAGTTTGGCTCAGTGTATAGAGCACCAGCCTGCGGACTGAAGGGTCCCAGGTTTGATTCCAGTCAAGGGCACATATCCAGGTTGTGGGCTCAATCCTCAGTGGGGTGCGTGCAGGAGGCAGCTGGTTGGTGTGATTCTCTCTCATCATTGATGTTTATATCTCTCTCTCCCTTCCTCTCTGGAAGCAATAAAAATATATTTAAAAAAAAAATACTGGCAATTTCTTCTGGCTCTAACCTTCTTTGCCTTGGAATGACAGAAAATCTGATGTATGTATTATATATTAGATATAATAATGTCTCATTTCTCCTTTCCTCAAGGAATAAATATTGAGTCAGAAAACTCTGTGGAAGTATAAATATGATAAAGTATCATCTATGGTACTGTAATATACTTTGGGATCATTCAGGGTAACAGGAACTTTATAAGTGCTTTCCCTCACTAGTGAGTTATATTAAATGTTTTCTTTTTTTAGAAATTCCATGAAGAAAATCCTGATTCCAAGATGTCCTGAGATCTTGTGATTCCATGAGGATTATTGAACTGTTACTTTAAAAACAAAATGAAATATGAAAAACTATGATGGAGTAAATGGATAGATTTTACTCTGGCGGCAGATGAGCACACCTATGCTGCCTGTTGCAGTGACTAGCCACCATCGTTAACATGTTCAGATTTTGTATTCCTAATAGCACTGATGACTGAGAATCTGCTTGAGTTTCAAGCTGACAGATTTAATTGTTGCTATTTTCCTAGGGGCTATTTCTTTAAAAGTACAGTTTAAATTTAAAAGCCGGACTGCTCAGTTATTATTGCTATTAGAAAATAACCCATATTGTCATGTTTACTTTTGTTCTTTGTCATTTTCTTTCCTGCATTGTTTTAGTCAAATAACAGCTTTTGAAAAAGGAAAATTCAAATAATAACTAAGGCTGTGATTTTTCAATATAAAAAGCACAGCTATTGGCCAAAGTGAAGGAATCCTTTTTCAGTTTTTATAGAAAACTGGAGAGATAGCATTCTGACAAGTAAGCTGTATTAAGAGCTTTACACAGAGAAGAGGCTTCTTTATCACAAAGGCAGACAACACACAACTAGGAACAGCTGGAGTGCTATTGATTTTATTTTTCAGATTGTTGTTTAATTCTCTGTATTTCTGATAAGGAGTTCAGCCATAAGTACATAGAAGAATAATTATCTTGCTCTTTAAAAAGTGAAGGGGATAATATTATGGTAAATTATATCTGATATCCTCTTGCAGTAGTTTAAATTGACACAGCAATTTAAATCTGTTTTCTTCTTAACCCAGTCTTGGGCTGGTTGTTCCCTTTTTATATTCATCTATATTATTCCCCTCCTTTTCACTTTATTTTAAAAAATTGGTAATATATTCCTAGCTTTGTGACCCTGTAGCATCTTAAGGAAAAGGCCACTTTGATCTGGGGTAACCCAGCAAGTCCTGCAGCACAGGTGGGAGGTGTAAGGAGAGCTGATTTTCAGGAATGAGGAGAGCTGATTCCTGAGAAACAAAAAACAATGCATTTTTCTCCATGAACGGTGCTGTTCTGAAGTCTTCAAATTTTTCCCTCTAATGGGAAACAGTATAAATTTTAATTTTTAAAAGGCAAAGTAAAATTTCTTGAAGTATAACTTCTCCATGAGCTGCAGTGAGTGTAATTTACTTGTCACCTTAGTGCTTTACAGTTTGAAGTGGTCACTATCTGATGGTTCCCACAAGCCTTAGGCTCTACAGGGTCATGTCATTGACTTAAAATGAAGAATTAACTTGTGTTTCATCTATAGAGAGCAAAATAACACACTCCAGAACTTGTAGTTGTAGCAGTTATACAGTTTTGGGTGTTCTTACCACCCATGGGATGCTTGCTTCTCATTACAACCTGTTGTGTAGACACATGCTTATGCCTTATTTTTCTTTTGGCATGTAGAAAGCTGTTAATACAGTTTAAGGCCAAATTGTGTGTGGCTTCTATATGTAGATAAGATGTTTTGGTATCTTGTCAGTTTCATTTTTTTTTAAGTGTACAAAAAAATAGCCTGTTGATTGTTTGTTGAAGGCTATTTTTCTATTTGGTTTGTTGTTGTTGTTGTTGTTTTCTATCCTATACATTTAGTTAAACTTAGTGGGATTGTGGTCTTGGTTTTGTTTATACAGCCAGATTTTTCCCCTTTTTTTGTGATCTTCCTTGGTTCTTTGAATGTGCTCTTCTTCTAATTTGTTTTTTTTCTTACTCACATATTCTTCCCATCACCCCCAACCTTCCTTTCTCTCTCTGATTGAGAGGCATTGAATTACGTTTTCAGTAGTACAGGCTTCTTGCCGATATGAAGGGAACTTTTCAGAAAGAGACCTACTCTGGGTCATTTAATTTTGAATACAGTTTTCAATCGTTCAAGTTTTGGATGGTTTATATCTAATGTGTGTTTCATTTTTTTGGAAAGCTATATTTTGTATTTAGGAAATGGTATACTATTTTGCTATTTGTACTGAGTGAGTACATTGGCATAAATATAGAAATTTATATATATACATATATATAAACTATTCTTTTTTGCCACACATTTTTGTGGTAAATTTGTGAGTTAGTCTGATGTTCTACCACAACGTGGCATCTGATAACAGTGAGGGGGGGTTTGTTATGTCTTTATTGAGTATTTAAGTATCTTTTGAAACAAATGACCTGTTTATCTGTGGCCATTCCATCAGGCAGTTCTTTGATGTTCCTAGTGGGCTAAAGGCAGCTTACTGTGTGTTTGCTGGATATTTTACTCAGCAAAATGTTAGAGTAAGGAAACCCATCTAGGCAGTTGTGTCAAATGGTGTTTCATGAGAATGAGCCATTCAGTCTTTGCTCACTATATATTTAATATTTTATTATTGTTATTATTATTATTAATTGGCTTTCTGTGTTCTATGCTTTTTTATTTATAAAGACACTAAAAATGTTTGTAATTTTAATAACATTTTCCCCACCTTGTAATATCCAGAGCTACTTTATAAATTCTCTGAACTGAAAGCATTTTCCTCAATATATCTCTTCTCCCCCCATCACTATCGAGAAAAATTACTCAATATAGTTCAGGTTATGAGAAAGACCAGCCACACAATCCAGTGCTTCAGTTTTAAAATGTAAAACTCCAACTGCAGAGGGAACATTGCTCTATGGATGAAGTGGTGGCAAGAAGACTGGCTGTGTGCTGATTTCTGTTGTTTAGCAAGAGGTTTATCATTGTAAAATGCTGATTGCCAATGCCAAGTCACCAGGGACCAATTTTCTGTTTTATAATATCTAAGTTTAGAACAGAACATACACCTGAATGGTTTGATTGGACAGAGGCAGAAAACCCAGTTTTTATTTTCATAAAATTTGTGGTTATTTATACAAGGGCTGTGCTATGCTACCATATTCTTATTCAATAATGATGTTGTGTGTTTTTTTTTAACATTATTAAATGTTCCTTATCCCTAAACGTCAATGTTAGGTACAGCATTCTGAATATACAATTTGGTTACAAAAATATTTATCTTCTTATTGAAGAGTTAGCTTAGTGGTCAGTGGTTGATACTTGTGCTAATAATACAGTTTCCAGATTACTGTTACAAGTTATTTATGGCAGAAGGTCCTAAATAAGTTATGAACCACATTTTAGTCCTTTGTTTTGTTATATTCAATTGTTCTTGCTTTAGCAACTCACATTAATGCTTGGAGCTTATTTCTGTGTCTGTGTTAGTGTTTGTGTGTGTTGTATTCCTTATTGTCATTCCATTATATATCCACACCAACATGGGAGAAGATAATTAGAAGTCATAATTTTGCTTCTGAGCTTTATCATGTTACCTTTGTAGTTAGAGTCATGTTTTTATTTAGCCAATGCAAATCTGTTTTCACCAGTCTCCCTAGAACAGGTTTTTTTTAGAGGACTTTGTTATAGATGCGGTATTAATGAGGGACCTTCCTTCCTTTTTTCCGTTCCTTCCTTTCTTTTTCCTTTCCTCTCCTTCTCCTCCTCCTCTTTTTCCTCTCCTCCCCCTCCTCCCCTTTGTCCTCTCCCTCCCCCCCCCCTCCTCCTTCTCTTCCTTTTTGTAATACTGTATATGCTATAGTTGGGAGTTTCATTATATGTGTATTTCTGGCCCATCAGAACTTCATTTAATCTGCTAAGGGGAAGTAGTGCCCAAGGAAATGAGAAAGTAGTTATAGCTGAGTCCCTCTAGAATTAAGATAATTCCTTTTGACTATTTAAGCCATTCTAGATGCTTGTTTTGGAAAAGTAATATCTGTTTAGACTCAGCACTAATTAAAGAACAGAATTAAATGCTTTAATTAATAAGTCAAAGTCTCAAATTCAATATGACTTAAAAATATTCACCAGAAGTAACTTGAGAATTTTTCATCTTTCTGGTGAAATTTTCTATTCTAATATCTGTTTCCTAGTTGATTTTCTTAATCAGTTGAAAATTATATTAAGACCTGTGAGCTTTACTTAGCTTCATGACCACAGGCTGCATCCCTAACCAAGACAACCATGTGATAGCTGAATGACTTTGGTTATATGCAGGGAGGGACTTAATGAAAGAGAGAGACTGAATAGTTCAGCAGCTTTATTAGAATAATAACTCAGAGAATATACCCTACTAAGTGGTTTAGTAAAATCTAATAACATGTATAAAAAGGTTTTCTCCTCTGCTTATTTGTATCAGTAGAGCTAAATTGTGGAGATAATGTTCATAATGTAGTAAATGTCAAAATAATACCTACAATGTAATCTGTGAATTGTCCCAGGGCTGTAATTACTTCTTTAGTCCCCATTGATTTTCATGCCATTCTAGCCTCACTTATTAATAAAATTATATTTTTATTCTACTTTCTCTTTTGGACATTTTAAAATTAATATTTTATATCTAAATTAAATGAGAGAGTGCCTTTTACCATGATAGTGCCCCTCTTTTTGTAGTTTCTTTTTTCACTATTGCCAAAAATACATACATTATTTTAATAGGTCCCAGTTTGAACTTTTCCACTTAGTCATTCTCTTTTCTTCATTTCTTTCTTTTCTTTTTGAAGATCTACTTGGCTTTATTAAGCAATTCATGAATTGGGCAGCATCCCATCTAGCAACCAGAAGGGCATTATAAAGGGTTGTGCCAAATAGAAGGTTTTTATAGCTCTTTTTCTTAATCATCACAGGAAACAGCTTCATAAGTTTCTAACTCCTTTTTGTATAAGAGTAACAGAAAAGATACATTATCAGAATCATTCCTCTGAGGGAGGGTAAGTAAAAGATAACAGAATTATACTATTTAGGTTTTATATAAATTAACTAAATTTGTCTTCATCTCAGCCAACTAATGATAGATCTTACCTGAATGCTAGTGAAAATTTTACTACCTATGAGACTCCATGCATACAAATGTGTGTGTAGTTAAATTTCAGGAAGTGTTCAAAGCATCTTCTGTGATCTTAATTAGATGAGTGAAAGTAAGTCACAAACACATAGTTTAAATAAAATCTGGTAATGTCAGTTTTTCTAACTAGACAGGGCCAAGTAATTAATTATAGTGCACTTCTTGCTCATCAGAGCCTCAATAATCTACCTATGAAAAATAGTGTTAAAAGAAATGAAGAAGTTATATCTGAGTCTCTCCAGATCTCAGATCTGAATTGAGTATTTCTCTGGTTTTTGTTAATTTTGCCTATGTTCCATCCAGCTCCTTAACACGGTGGTGGTGCCTGAAGAAAGGACCATCAGCAACAGGTCAGGATAGAATTAGCTTTGGGATGAGCTGCTTTCCTCATGTGAGTATTTCCATGGTTGTTAGTGACACTGATGACTGCAAACATTTATGCAATATTCCTAATACCCTATTGATAGTATGCACTTTAATCATTCCAAAGAAGTCAAGGATGCTGTATAGTAATGATTCCTTCTTAATGAATACATCTTAACCATTTAGAATGTTTATGTCCCTTTTTATTTTGGACAGTAAGTTAATATAAGTGTTATGTGAATATTTTCTAAAATGACTATAGTAGGACTTAGACTTTGAAATGTAATTGACTATAAGGGGAAATGATTACACTTCAGGAAATCATTTTAGAAACATTAAAATGATCAGCTTGCTAATCTATATGTTTGAGAGTTAATTAAACCCAGCCCTCTTCCTATATATTTTATGTCCTGTACATAAGAACATTACAGTATATAGTTTTCTACATATATGATATGTATAATCCAGTGGTTCTCAAAATATGTCCTTAGCCTACTAGCTAACATCAGTATCGCCTGAGAACTAGTTAGAAATGCAAATTGTTAAGGCCTATCCCAGGCACACTGAATTAGAAACTCTGGAGTGGGGCTCAGCAGTCTGTGTTTTAACACCCTCCAGGTGATTCTGGTGCATGGGTCAAGTTTGAAAATTACTGGTATAAACTATTTACAATAAGATCTAAAAAGCCGTTTTTCCCTACTCATATAGTTATACTTTGTTCTCTTAGTAAATTCAGCTTGATCTGGTTATTCATAATCCTTTATTGGCAATGATAACTTATTCTCCATACTGCTTATAGTATATTTTATGTATATATACAATTAGTCTAGTTATTGATAATTCAGTTAACTTAGTTGGGCATATTCCTACCACTTACTAAAAAGTTTACATTAAGTGACTGATTTAAAGATATAGGTGCAATGTTTTATATTTCTTTTAATTGTTATGACATTTAAGTAGCTAATATAATTGACAGGTGCTAAATTATTCTGTTTATGCATAAAATGGGTACATTGTGGGCAGTGATAATACAAGCTTTTTTTTCATTGCCTCTTATTTTACCAGCAGACAACAATTTTGGTGTGGCTAGGCCAACTCTCAGAACAAATTTGTCATTCCTATATTTATATTTGTATCTGAGATATTAAACAAGATGGCTGGCCAGATCAACAAAGCACCTTATTTAATTTCTTTCATGAATACATGAAACTTCTTTAAAAGTAGCTTGCTTAGTATGAGAACTGCTGCAGTAGAGTTATAGCTATCCTTGGAATTTATACTTCAGACAACGATTTACTAAAATCTTAAGACAGTAATGCATTATATAATTTGGGCATTTCTCCCTTGTCAATGTATGCACCATGGTAAATATAAACTAACCACCATAAGTTAAGTGATTTATTCATTCATTTTCATCTTCCTGTGTAATTTAATACCTCTGTAATTGTTCTACTCTTCCTCCCGCTGTTTACAAATCAATTAACTCATGAAAGAAAAATGCACATTTCAAAATAAAACTAATTATATACTCTATAAGAATCACCACTGCTTAATACTAGCAGTGGAAATGTAAGTGGCTTACTCTACAAACTATGGTGCTGGCAAATACATAGGCAAACTGTTGGGAGATGCTCTAGCTACATTCCTCCTTTCTTGTTCCCTTTCCTCTCTCTCCCCCACTTGATTGCATAATAGTATTCTGTACCCAAAACACTCTACCATAATTCTGTTTGACTTTAACTTGTAATATCTCTTTTAAAAGCCCATATTTAAGTCTCATATCACCCCTGCTCTTTTTTTCCTCAGAAGTAATTTGCCTGATTTGAATAGCTCATGGGAATCACTTGTTATTTTAGCTAATGAACCTCAGGACAGCACACACACACATACACCCCTCCCCCCACCACCACCAATCTCAGATGTTTGAGAATGGGATTGGAATCAGACTAATGTGTCCAGTAAAGAGCTGTCCACTGAAGTGATTATGACTTTAGGGACTACAAACTGATTCCAATGACATTCAGCTAATTCTTTTCATCTAATGAATGTATCTTCTCACCTTGTTCTCTTATTTCTAATTGATAAGCTCCAAGTAGTTGCTAATTTTTTGACAACTTTTACTTTGTCTTTTAAATAAATATATTACAAGTATTTCATTAACCTATTCTCAAGTGGTTTAGCTACCATTCTGCCATTTAAATTTTATTTGCTTGAGCACACTGATCAACCACTGAACTGCCTTCTTCCATTGTCCTACAATGACTATTTTTGTGTATGTGGCTTTCATAGTTGGGGTTGCAGAGCACTGACACCAGATATTTTCAGTTTGTTCTCTGGGGGAATTTTATTTGCATCTATGTTTCTAGCTATCTGTGATAACTTGTTAAATATTAAAAAGATATTTTGCTTCTATTGAACATTTGTATACTCGCAACTATATTTCTGTAAACAGCTGCAGTCAAAATAAAAGAATTGAAAGTTTTCATTTTGCAGTGGGTAACTGTCTTTTTTTCCTCAAACTTTGTGGATGAATTTGTATCCATAAATGTCATTTTTGAGCAGCAGAATGCCATTTTGCTGAAATTATAAAATCATTAGGAAAAGGTATGAAATATAGAAATATTTTCAAGTAGTTATTTTGTGCCTGTTAGTGTACAAAGTACTTAGTGTGATCAATTTTTTGTTTGTTTTACCGAGTTTAAATGTTTCATGCTTATTAGTAAAATAGAACATACATGTAGCAAATCATGTAGCATGGAGGTGCTTTTGATGAACATTAAGTCTCCCTAGCCCTCAGTCCCACATCCAAAGGCAGTCTCTTTTTATTCTATTGGCAGTTATTTCCACATGTATAAATTAGTGTTTACTAGAATGTAACATATAACATCATATCACTCAAAATGATTTCAGGTGATACATGGAAAACATTTTTTTTAAACATAGTATATGTTTTAATGTACATTAGAAAAAATATGTGTACACCTACTAGACTATAGGGAGATATGAATCAAGTTAAAGAACAATATTAAGACTTGGTCGGTGTGGCGCAATTGGTTGAGCACAGTTCCATGTACCTAGAAGTTGTGCATGACAGTTCAATTCTCAGTCATGTGCCATGACTGAGAATTGAACTGTCATGCACATGGCCAGGTTGCAGACTTGATCCCCAGTAGGGGGTGTGCAGGAGGCAGCCAATTGATGTTTCCCTTCCTTTCAAATCAATAAAAACTTATTTTTAAAAAAACGTATTAAACAGCCAGGCTGGCATGGCTCAGTGGTTGAGCTCTGACCTATGAACCAGGAGGTCACAGTTCGATTCCTGGTCAGGACACATGCCCGAGTTGCAAGCTAGATCCCACAGATTGTGCAGCTGATCCATGATTCTCTCATCACTGATGTTTCTCTCTCTCCCTCTCTCTTCCTCTCTGAAATTAAAAACAACAACAACACTAAATAAAAAAAATTAAAAAAAAACAACAGTGTATGATTTATTCAAGGCCATAGAACTAAAAAAACAACAACACACATTTAAAAAATATATTTGTATATTAAACAAATACTAATACAGATGATACATGGATATTATGAATATGATATAAGAAACTGATATATTAGAAGTACTACTTTAGATAGTGTGTTGATTCTGTGAGAGTGACTGCATTTTTTTTTTTTTTTTTAATTTTAGGGAGGAAGGGAGAGAGAAAGAGAAACATCGATTGGTTGCTTCCTGTATGCACCCTGACTGGGGATTGAACCCGCAGCCTAGGTATGTGCCCTGACCAGGAATCAAACCCACAGCCTTTTTGGTTTAGAGGATGACACTCAACCAACTGAGCTACAGGGCCAGGGCAAAAGTGACTGAATTTTTAACATACCCAAATGTATCTAAATGAGTTGTCACTTTAGGAGGATTAAATTAATTATATATTAAATAAACTACATATATATTTCAACAATGTTGCCAACATTCAAAATAAGTTTTTTTTTTATTATTGATTAAGATATTACATATGTGTCCTTGTCCCCACGTTACCCTCTACCCCCCACCCCCCCCACCCCCGCTCATGCCCTCACCCCCCCGTTGTCCATGTCCATTGATTAGGCCTATATGCTTGCATATAAGTCCTTTGGTTGATCTTTCCCCCTTACCCCCACCCTCCCCTACCTTCCCTCCAAGTCCCGACAGTCCAATCAATCCCTCTCCGTCTCTGGATCAGTCCTTGTTCATCAGCTTATGTTGTTCATTATATTCCACAAATGAGTGAGATCCTGTGGTATTTATCCGCTCTCCAGTTCCATCCATGCTGTGGCAAATGGTAAGAGTTCCTTTTTCTTCTTCCTCTTCTTAAAGAATACCTTTCAGCATTTCATATAATGCTGGTTTGGTGGTGATGAACTCCTTTAGCTTTTTCTTATCCGTGAAGCTCTTTCTCTGACCTTCTATTCTGAATGATAGCTTTGCTGGATAAAGTAATCTTGGTTGCAGGTTCTTGCTATTCATCACTTTGAATATTTCTTGCCAGTCTCTTCTGGCCTGCATGGTTTCTGTTGAGAAATCAGCTGACAGTCGTATGGGTACTCCCTTGTAGGTAACTGACTGTCTTTCTCTTGCTGCTTTTAAGATTCTCTCTTTATCTTTTGCTCTTGGCATTTTAATTATGATGTGTCTTGGTGTGGTCCTCCTTGGATTCCTTTTGTTTGGGGTTCTCTGCGCTTCCTGGACTTGTAAGTCCATTTCTTTCACCAGGTAGGGGAAGTTTTCTGTCATTATTTCTTCAAAAAGGTTTTCAATATCTTGCCCTCTCTCTCCTTCTGGTACCCCTATAATTCTGATGTTGGTATGCTTGAAGTTGTCCCAGAGGTTCCTTACACTATCTTCATATTTTTGGAATCTCTTTTCTTTTTTCTTTTTCGGTTGGGTATTTTTTGTTTCTTTGTATTTCAAATCTTTGACTTGATTCTTGGGATCCTCTTTTCTGCTGCTGGATCTTTGTAAATTATTCTTTATTTCAGTCAGTGTATGCTTAATTTCTAGTTGGTCCTTTTTCATGTCCTCCATGGTCTCACTATACTTATTGAGGGATTCATTAAATTTATCGGCGGTTTCCATAAAATTCTTGAAAAACCTTATAACCGTGGCCTTAAACTCTATATCCAATCGTTTGCTTTCCTCCATTTCTGCCATTTGTGACCTGTTTCTTTGTCTCCGCATTTTGGCAGCTTCCCTGTGTTGATAGAGTGGCCCTGTGCGCCAGGTGTCCTGTAGGGCCCAGTAGCTCAGCCTCCCCAGTTACCTGGGGTGGACTCTCTTGGTGCACTCTTGGTGCCTTGGTTGTTGTAGAATCACTGGGAGGAATTGACCTCCAGGCCAATTGGCTGTGAGAATCAGCTGTGTCTAAAGTGGGAGAACTTCTGTGCTGAAGACACCCTTCTGGGGCAAGACTTGCTTCAGTGGGGCTTTGGTGCTCACTGAGTCTGCTCCCTGAGTGTGTCCCTTATGGATCTGAGGAGTTGCAGTCTGGATGGACCCCCTCTGACCACTGGGTACAGTGGCTCCTGGATCTAAGGAGGTGCTAATTCAGCCTCTGCCTGAGGCCACACAGCAGGAGCCACGAAGAGGCTCAGCTGTGAAGCAATGCAAGCCTCTGCGGGGCCTTGGGCCTTCTCTTGGAAGTTCCAGGTCTGCCTGGTTCGGCTGCAGTTAGGTACATTCACATGCAAAAGCCTCTGCCGCAGCCTGGGTGGGGCGGGGTCTCAGGGAGTCAGAGGGCGGAGAAAGCAGCCATGGCCGATTCTCCGCCCGGAGTCGCGCGTCTCAGTGTTCCGGTAACGGCTGCAAGCACCTCTGAGGGAAAGCCGCCCTCAAGTTCGCTCGCTGCCGGACAGACCAGCCTCTCCCCGTATGAGTCCTGGGTCCCCAGAGACTTCCCGGAACCGGAGTTCAGAGCAGTCAGGAGCTTGTGACTCAAAAAGTCAGCCGCGTCCTCAGGTGCTACCCCCTTTCCTCACGCGCGCGCGCGCCGCCGTACCTCTGCACTTCACCTCCGCAGCGCCTCTGGCTCTCAGCATGCTTTTCTTTCCTTCTAGTTGTGGAATTTACACTCAGCCAGCCTTCCTGTTGTTCTGGATGATGTTTGCTCAGTCCTTTGCGGTAATTTTCAATTGTTGTGTGAGGCGACAATTTCCCGGTGTTTACCTATGCCGCCATCTTAGTTGCTCCTTCCAAAATAAGTTTAAAAGTTGTCTTCTTTTGGCTATTGACTTTGACAGCACTGGAAAGAGAATAAACAAATTAGCTTTAATAACTAAATTTCAAAAATACTTTGGCCCAGCCCTAGCCAGTTTGGCTCAGTGTATGGAGCATCGGCCTGCGGACAGAAAGGTCCCAGGTTTGATTCCAGTCAAGGGCACATGCCTGGGTTGTGGGCTCAGTCCAACGTGCAGGAGGCAGCCAATCAATGATTCCCTCTCATCATTGATGTTTGTACCTGTCTTTTCCTCTCCCTTCCTCTCTGAAATCAATAAAAAAATATACATATATATATATATATATATATATATATATATATATATATATATTAGAAAAACAATACTTTGGTCCAGAAAAATAGCATATGTGGGCAAGAGACTGATCTGAAGATGAGACTGCAGAGGCCACCAGAAAAGCTGATGCAGACCTGGTTTATGTAATTCAAATCACAGTATCCAGAGCAAGGGAAATAACTGTCCTGCTTTACTCCAGGCTGGTAAAAGTACTGCTCTGTCATCTTGTAAGGAGCAAATTCTCAGCAGCCATATAATCAGACCTATAAGAACTGAAACATTATTTATCCTTCTTGTGACACAACAGGAACTCTAGCAGTACAAAAGCAGCTACAGTCAACAGCAACACTAAATGGTCTTGCTCTGAGGAAGAGGTATTGATTGCTTCTCTTGCTCTCTATTTCATGGTACCATTGTCCCTGTTTCTACTGAGGCAGTATAATGTAACTAGAGGCCTGATGCACGAAATTGGTGCAAGAGTAGGCCTTCCTTGCCCTGGCTGCCGGCACCGGCTTCCCTCTGGCACCCCAGACCTGGCTTCCCTCCGGCCACCGGCAGGCACCCGGGACCCAGGCTTCCCTCGAAGCCCTGGCTTCATCCGGAAGGTCGCCCAGAAGGACGTCCAGTCTAATTAGCATATTATGCTTTTATTATTATAGATATTTTAAAGCATAGGCTCTTGAGTTTGCCTTCTTTAGGTGGAATTTTGGTTCCTACACCTATTTAACCTCTCAATTTCTCAATTTCTTATCTATAGTGTGGAAACAAAAATTGGACTCTCTTCAGAGTTTTTTCAAGAATTAAGTAAATGAATCCATGTAAAATTACTTAGTTCCTAGCATACATAAATGCCTAATAAGTGTTACCTTGTGTTAGTATTACTAGACCTGTTATTACTCTGTTCTTCTGTCTCTTGTGCTCTGGATCCCATATCCTTTTGTC